TGCGGCTCGTGACGATACATTGATGTGTAAAGACACAAAACGATTGGTCTGTGCAAGAAACTGAACAGTATTTATATTGTTTTTTACCTCTGATTTACGCAATGTCCGAACTGTTCGAACTGTCCTGAGCGGCAGCGTCCTCCCATTCACACGGGCCGTCAGCGTTAACGCTTGACAGAGGGCGTTTCTGAAGCTTGGTGCTGACGCGACCATCATAGTGACAACAGCCAATCACATTAGTTTTCTGGTGTTGCATGATCGCGATTGGCTAGCGTCTGCGCTAGGGTAAGCAGATAAACATCCAATTTTCATTTTTGGGTGAACTATCCCTTTAAGATACGCATTGACGAAAAATGTGCCGTTTTTTACAGTTACAAGCAAAAAGGGTCTGGATATCATGGCTAATACATTATAAAGCCAAATTCACAGAATAAAAGTTGATATATATATGCCCTGTTCTACCTCACAGCCGGTAGATCCATGTGAAAAGTGACAAACTGGCAAGGCTTGCAAACAATTTTTAGCTGATAAATGAGTTTTTGAGGTAGAGATTCTGGCAGTAATGACTTTTAAGTGTGTTATAATGAGGTGTCCTTATATAAATTACAAGCAAAAAGGGTCTGGATATCATGGCTAATACATTATAAAGTCAAATTCACAGAATAAAAGTTGATATATATGCCCTGTTCTACCTCACAGCCGGTAGATCCATGTGAAAAGTGACAAACTGGCAAGGCTTGCAAACAATTTTTAGCTGATAAATGAGTTTTTGAGGTAGAGATTCTGGCAGTAATGACTTTTAAGTGTGTTATAATGAGGTGTCCTTATATAAACAGAAAAAAAAAACTATAATATTGTACAATACAGACAGAAACGGTAACATTTTCTAGACTGTACAGCAACTGTGGTCCTGGTAAGGGTTATATGCAATGCTTCAAGAGTGAGCATTAACAGTTGGTAGCTTGATGGTTAAGGATCTCGGCTGCAAAAGCAAAGGCTACAAGTTTGGGATCAAGGCATTTAACTTCAAGTTACTCAAGTTGTACCTGCAAGCTGTTTTGGATTAAATAAAAGGCTTTAAGTGTAAAGAAACCCCATTTCCATAAAGCCTGGAGCATCTCTCGCCTAACACCAAATAATCATTCAACTTCACATGAGCGAAGACGGTAGTTGCTAGAAGACCCTGATTGTGTCAAAAATGATTCACTCCTAGATGCCCAAAAAGGCTTTAAGTTTAAAGAAACCCCATTTCCATAAAGCCTGGAGCATCTCTCGCCTATGAAACACCAAATAATCATTCAACTTCACATGAGCGAAGACGGTAGTTGCTAGAAGACCCTGATTGTGTCAAAAATGATTCACTCCTAGATGCCCACCAAGTGGGTATTTGACCTTGCATACAGAGTAATGCTAGAATTTATAAACTGTAGCTACATGCTGATAAAAGACATTCTTACTGACCAGAACAGTTGATGAGATGATTAAAAAACAACCTTTAAGTGTGTGATCTATTATCTCTATACACAGGAAACCACATCCTTCAAATCCCAAGAAAAGAACATTTCATTTTTCTCAAGTCACTTTCAAAACTTCCCATTGTAATTTCCTCTGGATTGCGCTGTTGGATTTTGTGTTAAAAAATACAGATACAGAGCACAATACATAACCAGAAACTGCCCTGCTTGATGAAGCAAGGGCTGCATCGTTGGACCCCTCAAACCTGCATTATATTAAGCTTGAACGCCTGATGAAGTGACAAACTAAAGATCTTCAGTTAGTCAGGTAATTAAACAAGATGATTTGTTTGTTCAAACCTTAAAAATAAACCTATTATACTGTCATGCTTTGAGTCAAACTGTAATTATTTTCAGCCAAACTGCTGATCTGAGAGAAAGCTCGGCAAAAACTCTACACAAACGCAAGTAAAACAACCTCTGAACTCTTTCCACATAGCATAACTATGGGCCAAAAAAATGGGTCCAGTTACATTCGGACTCAATACTTGCAATACCTCAGCAACCTTTGTGAGGCTCATGGAGAACGTGGCCTCCAGAGTTTGCCAGCAGTCGTGAAGATGCAAACATTAAATAAACAAGAAACATGAAAACAGGGTATGAATGCAAGTATACATATCTACAAATGCATGCCTAAATCAGCTCCATAAAGGGACAGTTCTCCCAAAATTAAACTTCCGTCATTTACTCATCCTCAAGTTGTTCTAAACCATTATGAATTTCTTTCTTCTGATGAACACAAAAGAAGATATTTAGAGGAATGTTGTTGGTCCCCATTGACTTTCATAACTTTCAGAAAAGTCAATGGTGACCAGAAACTGTTACGGTTACATTCTTTAAAATTGTTTTTCTGTTCAGCAGAAGAAAGAAACTCATACAGGTTTGAAACATCTTAATGTTGAGTAAATGATGACAGAGTTTTTATTTTTGGGTGAACTATCCCTTTAAAATGAATCTTCATTGACTGCTATTAAGCTCTGAGATTGGAAACCAAACAGCTGAACACTTGCAACAAAAAACAGCAAAACTTCCGACAATTACACACTTTGTATCGTGTTCATGCTGAAGTTCAGACGTTCGCCTGTCAACAGCGCATTCAAACTGTGCTAAGGAAACACCTTCACAAGGCACTGCAGGATACATATACAGAGAAAATAAAATCTACAACAATATATTATTAGTTCAGACCCTCAAGCTGTTTGCATCACACGTTCTAACAATAATACTATTGTTATCGGTTTGCCTATTAATGAAAAGCTTTTGTCAGTCAGAGATTATAAAACCCTAAAAAGCAGAATCCTACAGCCTTGTTAACGCCAGACAGTGTGCTCACAGAAAGAGAAATAAATTATTCACAGGTTTTGCATATACATTATATCATTATCTTTATAATAAACTCTGCTGTTATTTTAGATTTCTTTTGACTCCTGAACAAAGGAGAGTGTAAATAAAAGACCTGAGCTAGTGTTCTTCAAGTTGAGAACGATTCAGTTATTCCTGCCCTGTTTTTTTTTTTTTTTTGGCATATCTTCTGTAGTAACTGAGGTTTTTTGGCTTTGGTTTTGCACTGACGGAGAGAGAGTCTGAGGTGCTAAGGCGACTGGTTGTTGGAGGATGAGGTAGGTGTGTGGTGAACAGATTGAGGCCCGCTGTTGCCTGCGGAAGATTTGTTGGATGCCCCTGATGAGGTCGGCGCTGCGGCTTGGGCGAAGAGAACACCTATTATGAGAAAACAGGAAGATTAGTCACAGCCAAAACCAAGGAGAACTTGAATACAAAGAATCTACGTGGTGATGGCTCCTCACCGGTGTAGACGACTCCATTGAGCTCCAACGACATGCTGATGCTGTTTAGGCCATTGGTGGTCAGGTTCAAGGCTGAGTCTTGCCTGCTCTCTGATAGACAGAAAAAAAAAAAAAAAAAAAAAGTTTACACGTTACGAAAAGAAATAGCACACCTCTCCTCAAAGCAGCAAGAGGTATTATTCACTTACAATGATCAGCCACAAAATTAAAACCACCTGTCCCATAGGGCTGCACAATAATGGTTAAACGGTTAATCATGATTATTTTGCTTTTTCCGTAATGTACAGAGAGCGTGTGCTCATGGTTGCCAGGTTGGGAAGATTAAGAGGCCGTTTACACGAAACAGTTTACAACTTTTGGCATTTAATCACGACAATGGCTTTGGGAGCATGTAAACACTAACTTTTGAAAACAGATTTCAAAGTTCAAGTTTTACGTTACCATTATCATCTCTTTTTAAACTATAAAAAAACACTAATTTGTGAAAATGGTGACGTCATAGGCGTGCATATTACGTGTTCAGTCTGTAGGCATCCACGAGTTTCTTCACAAAGTCATATCACCAACTACGTCTTTAGTCATTTTCGTGGATCCGTGTGTGAACTGGGATCATTTTGTCAATGGAAATACTTTTATGAATGAGAACCTTTTACGAATGAGTGGCCAGAGATGCAAGCAGACGGGTCCAGTAACTGTTTGGTTACCCACATTCTTCAAAATATCTTCTTTTATGTTCAGCAGAAGAATGAATCTCATACAGGTTTGAAACAACCTGAAGGTGAATAAATGATGACAGAAGTTTCATTTTTTGGGTGAGCTATCCCTTTAAATGCCAACATTTAATACATAGGGTATGGGCTTGTACAAATTACTAACCCAAAGTATGAGAATTATTAATAATGGTGCTCAAAAAGCTACTAATAATATTCTGTGGGCAGTATAATTCCAGCAGGGGGCACTTCCGTAGCGATTTCCCAGTTGATAGATAGAAGCAAGCTAAAAAAAAAATGAAGAGTTCACATGCAGTGGCAGGGGGAATTTATTCAGTCCCTTATTCATCTTCCGATAAAATACACAAGGTGAAATCTCTAGTATTTAACACCTCTAACCAAGAAAAGGAAGTCATGTTGTGTTAAGGCAGGGATTTCCCACACGGCAGAAATATTCGCCTTGTCTTTTTGTCGTTGAGGTCAACACCTCAAGTCTACTAATGAATCAGACCCTTCATGCTAGCATTCTTTAAAGTAAATACATCAATGCAACTATACAGTTCTGATAAGATCTAATCAGAGCACTTCTAAACACCCTTTTGTTTCCTCATTCATTAGAATAGTATTTAGTAAGAACAGTTCTAGATTTACTACTGTGGGATAATGAGAGCTGTAATGACTCATCCTAGAGAAGGCAGCTGACATCTCCACCTGACAACCACTGATCTGTAAAGTGCATTTACCACATGCCAGTAATTTAGTCTGGCTGTGGTAGTATTTTCACACCCTTTCCTACAAAATAGCTGTTTCCAGTGAATGATGATGTAAGAGGGGCTTTGCAGCACTGTACTAGAAAACACACTGAGTTCATTTCATTCCACACACAGGTTTCCCTGAAACATCAAAAATTTTATAAAAAGGTGTTTGTTTTTTCTCAGGTTGGTGTTTATGGGAAAGGATAAAACCATAGTAAAAATGTAAATTAAATCAACTCTTTGTAGTCTAACTGTGCTTGCAATGATTGTACAACGTGTTTCAACATACGTTTATGAATAAACATGACTGTACAACATACATACACAATTTCGGTTGCAAGTTTTTTTTTTTTTTTTTTAAATGGTAATTTTTAAATGAGGCAAACACCACCTGAGAAAACGTTCATTAGAGTCCAATGAACCAGAAACCAGTCTAATATTTTGGCTTTCTTAAAGAGAAAATTTCATCCAAAAATAAAAATTCTCAATCCAGCGCTTAAGGATCTATCCAAACAATCCAAACCCATAAGAATTTCATTTAATCTTTGAGACACAAATGAAGATTTAGAAACCTAAGAGATTTCTGTCCCTCCATTGTAAGTCTGTTCCACCTAAACTCTGACACTTCAAAAAGCCCATAAAGAGATATATTTTAAATACTATGTATTCAAATTATTATTATTATTATTTAATTTAAAAAGCATGTCATTGAATGCCAAATAACAGATCTGATTTAACTAGACAGTTTGAATATCATCCTTGTCAGTTTTTCAGGAAGCAAAAAAGCCTTGTGAATAGAAACGTTCACTGGGGGACTGTACCGCCCCTGTTGAGAAATACTGGTATAGTCGGTTTTAAAATGTGATTGCACATCCCTACTATTGCCAGGGTAGACATATTTGGTCCATCTGTAGGCCAGAATGTAAAAGTGTCAGTCAGTACCTTGGTTGTTGATGCGGATGTTCATGGGGATCTGTGCTGTCATGGCCAGCAGGTTGTGCTGAAGGGCTCTCTGCAGTAGCCGCTGGTGTTCGTCCAGTGGTAGTGCAATCTTTTTCTCTGGGGGCTCGCCGGACTCCAGCTTGTGCCGCAGCTGCTCCAGTGCAGCTACCTGTGCGATGGTGGCCGCCTGTGCAGCCGCAGCCTGGGCCGCAGCTACCGAATGAGTGGCCAGAGACGCAGGCAGACGAGTCTGAACCCCGTCATCCTCTACAACAGAGAAAGGGATCGAAGGAAACACATTTGAAATTAAGCAAACCATATGGCAACATCTGAGTCATTTTTCTAAGATGTCACTAAAGATGTAACCACAGTGCTGGGTAGATTACTTATCATTTGTAATCCGTTACTGATTACAAATTACATGACAAAAACTGCAGTTAATGTAATCTATTATAATCTTCATTATAATCTTAGATTACTGAATTTAGGTAATGTATTCAGACTACTTTCTGATTACTTTTAGATAACTTTTTACCTAAAAAAAGAGAAGAAAATATATTCCATTCTCTGTTGTCAACAAGAAGAAATGCAAATGCATAACTTTACATTACATCAGGGTTTCCCCAAACTAGGGTTAATGAGTTGATGAAAAGCTAATGATTAATTAAATAATAAACATATACATTTAAAATAATACATTTTATGAAAATGAAAACTGTAAAAATAAAACAAATGAACACACAAAAAAAATAGAAATATTTTATTTGTTGACCTGCATGTCAATGTGGCCATTAACTGACATCAGAGAACCGTGAACATGCACATGTGTTGTTAAATTATTGAAACATGAACTTAAAATCTCATGGGTCTTTAAGTAAATATTTTATATTAAAAGAGTTTGGCTGACAAAAAAGTTTGGGATTCGCTGCATTAATAAACATGAAAACAGCAATGACATTACACATCCAAAGATTCCCAGGTTTTAAATATTTTTGTCCAGATCAATAATTAAGAAAAAGTCATATGAAAGCATATAATGTAGAACTATACATCTCTATATTTTGTCAGTGACTGAGAGGTGCTTTTGTCCCTAAACTCAGAAGTATGGATTACAAATTTACTTACATGACATTTACACGGCCATTCTATATGAATATAGTCAAAGCTAAACGGTATGACACACTGTAAGATTTTTTCGAATGCAATATAATCTAATTACCAGTACTTTATTTTTGGAATCTGGATTACATGTAATCAGTTACTACTCATCATTATGTAACCATGACCCACTGCATTATATTTGGTGTTTCTGCAAGCAGGTATTACCTTTCTTAATTCTCTGTAAGGATGAGACTGAGGCTCCGTTGCTGGGCAGGGCGATGCCCATGGGTGGCATGGAGAGTTTGGGTGATGAGAGCATTGTGGGTGTCCCGTTGGGCGAGTAGGTGAAGAGCGAGCTACCGAAGCCCTGCCTGCGTCCCTCTCGCCGGTTACTGTCGATGGCTGCCTGCAGCTCATTGGGGTTGCTGAGACCCCTCTTCTCACATTCGTAAGGATACAGATACTTCATATATCTGCAGGGCGAAATTAAAGGGGTCATGCAATGGAGAATCAAAATATTCTTGAGGTTTACACATATAAGTGGTTACTTTACAATAAAAACATACCGCAAGTTTCAGAACTCAAAACTAATTCCCCAGTTTAAAATATGAATCATCCTTTTCTACCCTTCTGAAACTCCAGGATTTCATATGCGATCAAAGAGGAGTGTTCTGAACAGCTCATGTCTGTCCATCAATCACAAGAGCCATACTACTTCATGTAAAGAAATGGTGCAGAACACATTAGTGCTGTCAAACGATTAATCGCGATTAATCGCATCCAAAACAAAAGTTTTTGTTTACATAATATATGTGTGTGTACTACTGTGTATATTTATTATGTATATATAAATACACACACACGTATATATTAAGGAAAAATATGTATGTTTGTGTATTTATTACATACATAATAAATATAGACCTTACACACATATTATATTTAAAAAAAAAAACTTTTATTTTGGGTGCGATTAATCGCGATTAATCGTTTGACAGCACTAAAAAACATTGCAACCAAAACTAAATTTGAGAAATGTAATGTAAAAATCTGAAACTTGCATGCCATGATCATATAAAATGTTGTAAATGTGGTTTACTGCTGTTTATGCATTAGTCAATCAAGCCAATGACTAAACCATCAACTTCACACCGTTCCTGTTAGTAGCGTGAAAACCATCTGTTATTTATAATGTGATTATTTTATATACAAAAAAGCGATCAAAACGCTGGAGCAGTCAATTCAAGATAAGCCCATTAAAATCAGAGACAGTTTACACTGCTCAACAAGTATGTTATTTACATCGTGTTTTCACTGTTAGATATTATGAATGCATTTGTGCTATTGCAGAAATCGCATTGCAATGAGATCCTTGCATCTTGTGCTCAGTAGACTTGACTGTGTTCGGCTGCAGTGCAGCGGTGCAACTTGATGCAACGGGATTCGTTCTAAATATAGTGCTTTAATCAACACTTCTCACTATCAGGTAATCTAGGCGGCTGGTGGTAAAAACACAGTGAAAGTTTTTGAGAGAGTTCCAGGTGTAATGCTCATTTCATATGCAAAGATGTTAGCCAATCATAGCAGTGGGCGTTTCCATTCTACACGTGCAAGTAAACATAATTTCTCCTGTGAAGGTGTCGGTGAGTACGCACTGTGTTCTGAGAGTGAAGGCAGCGCTGGTGATGGAGGTCGGCAAGTTCAGGCCCTTCGTGATCTCCCTCCACAACTTTTTATTTATGACCTCCACCAGCCCCCCCTTCTCTGTCACCAGCTGGTACAGCATGTAGAGGTCCAGCACCTGCTTGGCCATGATGGGAATCCTGTTCACTGGAGTCCCTGCACGAAAACAAACAGCTGCGCTGAGCGACTTAGCAGCTTGAATGTATCCTCTACAAATGAAAGGAACTCCCATTTTAGTCTTCATTTGGGAAGACTGCAGAGTTTCTACTTTTCCCTAGGCAACAGATTGTTGTGCACATGCATTTGTGCTACAAATAAACAACAAAAGAAGTAGTAATAATAAATAGTACTATAGTAATAAGTAATATTTAAAAAACAAACAAACATTTAATTCATTACATTTAATTTCAGCGTTTCTGCTCTTCTCTAGGCAGCAGATTATCGTGCACATGCATTTGTGCCATAAATAACCTAGCTAATAAAATTTCTCTCCCAGGTCATTAATTTATTCATCAGAAGAGGGTTTAACAAGTGCTGGAGAACATTTTCCACAGCAAGTTTAATAGGAACACATGCTTCGACAGTTTCAAGGCCGGATCATGACATGGACATGTGTTCGCATACCCCCATGTTTAAAAACACATGTGAATGTGGGAGCCACAGCCCTGCTTCAGCATGATATGAAGGGAGAAAATGGCAGTGCTTCGATATAAATGCATATAAATATCACTGTGGTGGAGATTTGAAAGATGAGCTGGGTGTTGATGAGAGCGCATTAGGGGAAGAGTTTGGAAAGGTCTGGGTCATAAAGGTCTCTATAAGATGACACATGGAGATGTTTTTGATGCGTAAAAGTGATTTTCTTTGCACATACCTCTCTTCTGCATAAAGCTGAACAGATTGTCCAGGAACTCCTTCCTCTTTGGGTCACTGTCCAGTTCATAGAGCTGCACATGAAAAACACACAGCCAGACAAACAAGGTTATGAAGAGCAGTGTGTGAAACTGTGCTCTCATCACTCTTGATGTCCTGATCAGAAATTGCATTATACAAGCAATATGTTCTAAGAGGCTGTGCTGTATTGTGAAAAAGTCATGGCTAAACAGAACTGTTAGCTGGCAAGTGCTAGCTAAAAAAATAAATAAAGGACACATATAAAAACATTATTTTACAATAAAAATAAAGTGTAATTATTTCGTTAGAAGATACAGTTCCTGACATTAAGGTGTAATTAAGGTGTAAAAAAGGGGTGATTTGAAGGTTTTACACATCACAGCTGTTATCAAGGCCATGTTTAGTACAGCATGCTACCATAATACACTTACTACTATGACCTGCTATATTTGCCAAAATAAGCAGTATACAAAGCACATTGCGCAGATTCAGAATAGTATATACCAAAATGCAACACTCAAGACTGTTCTTTACAGAACTACCAAATTTTGTTATAAGTTTGATTGCATCATATAATAATTGCTGTTAATGGTGTTCATCGTCTGTTTGATTACGTCTTTAAATGATTTGTCCGTACATTTCTGCCATTTGTACATAAACTGACAGTCACCACTGATAAGCTACCACTAAATATTGTAGAAACTTAATTTTCTGTAAAGTTGTTTTGCAATGATTTGTATCGTAAAAAGCGCTATACAAATAAACTTGAATTGAATTGAATTTCTTTTCCACTACAATTAAATTATTATTAATAATTAATAATAATAACAAATAAATTAATTAAATGATATATACATGTTAATTTATATCATAATTTATTATATTTCAATTATAAATGTTAAATTATTAATTATATAATAATAATAAAACGATTGTATTTTATTATTAATAACATTATTATACATTTATATATATATATATATATAATTAATTAAAATATACAATTATTGTATATATGACATTATCATAAATCATACAATAATAATAATAATGTATATTTATTTATATAAAATTATTATTATTAATCATTTTAATTGTACATTTTTCCTTCCTGTGAAGCTTTTTCAGGTACATTTTATGTATGACAGGTGCTATATAAATAAATATTTCAATAAATCTTTAATAAATAAATAATTATTTATTATTATTTTCAAAATGATGTCCACAAAATGCAAACTAACCAAAATGGGAACTTGCTGAACTAAACGCGCAACATGATGAGGTGATAAAATATAGCGAGCTCAAGTGATAACAATACAGCACACTATACTTTGGAACATTTATCACTGCATAATGCATTATTTCACATGCTATAAAAAATAGGCAGCAAGTAATCAGCAAGCTAGTTCCTAGTATTCCTGAGGACCAGAACTGTTAGTTTTATGATGGTTCATAAATGAATACATTAAAAAATATAATGTGAAATGGTATCTTAATCAAATCTTTAGTTTTAATTAAAGCAATATTTCTAACAAATGCGTGAATGTCTGAAGGATCTTAATGAAAACAGAAGCCTCACGTGCCAAAAAGGTCACGCTATTTAAAAAAAACTGTGCTGGTAGCTGAGCAATGGGCAGCTTTTTTTCTCCAATTCCCTTCTTGCTTTCCTCCACTGTTCCTGAGCTCTCATTAGCAGCAGAAAGGGGAGGGTCTGAGTGAGAGTAAAGGTAACGCTGGGGGCCAGCAGAGGGTTAATTACAGGATGTATATGTTTTTGAGGAGTGCCACACTATAAATTTCTCATATGACCTGCCTCATATTCTGTAAGGTACTCAGCCCCACCCTTACATTTCTATCCATAATTCTGTGTCCCTTTTACCAGTGTTCAAAACCAGTCACCCAGCAGGGAGCTTCATGTCATTTTAGAGTAACTCTATGTAATTCCTAAGGAAGAATCATAAGGAATTTAACATATTTGTATTAAAAAAAATGCTTTGAGAACTCATAAAACTGCTACCGTCCTTGATTCATTTCAAGATAGACATTACCAAAAGTAATGCCTTGATTATCAAAAGACTGTATGATTGATCCAGTCCAATTTTAAACCAACAACTTAAGCCTTTCAGATTGCTTCATTAAAACACTCATAAGAGTCGTTTTTTTTTTTTTTTTAATTATTTATTATTATTTTCAAAATGATGTCCACAAAATGCAAACTAACCAAAATGGGAACTTGCTGAACTAAACGCGCAACATGATGAGGTGATAAAATATAGCGAGCTCAAGTGATAACAATACAGCACACTATACTTTGGAACATTTATCACTGCATAATGCATTATTTCACATGCTATAAAAAATAGGCAGCAAGTAATCAGCAAGCTAGTTCCTAGTATTCCTGAGGACCAGAACTGTTAGTTTTATGATGGTTCATAAATTAATACATTAAAAAATATAATGTGAAATGGTATCTTAATCAAATCTTTAGTTTTAATTAAAGCAATATTTCGAACAAATGCGTGAATGTCTGAAGGATCTTAATGAAAACAGAAGCCTCACGTGCCAAAAAGGTCACGCTATTTAAAAAAAACTGTGCTGGTAGCTGAGCAATGGGCAGCTTTTTTTCTCCAATTCCCTTCTTGCTTTCCTCCACTGTTCCTGAGCTCTCATTAGCAGCAGAAAGGGGAGGGTCTGAGTGAGAGTAAAGGTAACGCTGGGGGCCAGCAGAGGGTTAATTACAGGATGTATATGTTTTTGAGGAGTGCCACACTATAAATTTCTCATATGACCTGCCTCATATTCTGTAAGGTACTCAGCCCCACCCTTACATTTCTATCCATAATTCTGTGTCCCTTTTACCAGTGTTCAAAACCAGTCACCCAGCAGGGAGCTTCATGTCATTTTAGAGTAACTCTATGTAATTCCTAAGGAAGAATCATAAGGAATTTAACATATTTGTATTAAAAAAAATGCTTTGAGAACTCATAAAACTGCTACCGTCCTTGATTCATTTCAAGATAGACATTACCAAAAGTAATGCCTTGATTATCAAAAGACTGTATGATTGATCCAGTCCAATTTTAAACCAACAACTTAAGCCTTTCAGATTGCTTCATTAAAACACTCATAAGATTTGTTTTTTTTTTTTTTTTATCAGAATAGCGAAACACTGTTATGGGGCTTTATGCCACATTTACGTCTTGTAGTAAAGAAACCACAATTAAAACATGAATCCACTACTATATTTTGTTATGTCTGAGTACACAAAGTGTGATTAACGTAATGACCTTTCCTTTAGCAGAGTACTGGAAAATAAAGCACAACATAAAGTGCACAGCTATAGTAAAATGACATATGTAAAATGTGTGATTAATTGCTGAAGCTGTTGCCATTTTGTAGTCACAACAGTCAAGCAGGAAAGTCAGATTATATTTTCCAATTTGTATTTATGAGTAAAAAAATGTTACTAGTAGCAAACGTGCGTATTTGCATGGCATTGCATTGGTGCAATACATATGTTTTAAAACCTAACATACTTAAAAATTTGCTTTTTTAAAAATTCTTAATTCCCAACTTTAGTATTGTCAAACAGTCAAGCTAGGGCTGTACGATAATGGTTAAACAGTTAATCATGATTATTTTGCTAAAAAAGTATATAATAATAATAATAATAATATTATATAGAACACATTTATTAATAATGGTTATTGTCATTTTTTTTTTTTACATCTCATCAGAATTATTGCACTTTCACATAAGCACAAATCATGAGAATGTTACAGATTTAGTCACAGCAAAAAGAAAAAAAAAAACACTAGCTGTATTGCACTTTTATTTTAGCAGAATATCTCAACAGAGATCACTAAACTCCAATTTACATGTTTGCCCGTGTTTTTAGCTCATCAGCATTTTTTCCGTAATGTACAGAGTAGGGCTGTCAAAAAAATTCGAATTTCGAATATTCGTCAAATTTAAAGTAAAAATCCACAATCGAATGCAAAAACGTTGCATTCGAATTTTAGTTGTGCGTTAAGGAGGTAGCCGTATCAGCGGCGCACGAGATGCGGTGACGATGTAAGTGTCGTTGGATTATAATGTTTTTGTTAGCCTATCCAGTTGAAGCCACTAGATGTGGCGCTGCTGCGTTGTTCATTAAAAATATTGCGGAAAAAGAGAACATCAATGCGGAGAAGATCTTGTTTACATCAAAACTGAAACCAAGCCGTTCACACAGAACACATATTTCGCGCATTTTCTAGAGGGACATCTATCACCGTTGCACTCGCATCTCGCACAAAGGAGAGCCGCATGTTTAGAAAGCCATGTAAAATTAATGCAAGTTCAACATTGAAAAAACATATCTCAATACTTTATGGCGGGTTTTTTTCCCCATCCCACTGCATCTCATGTTTTTAAATGAAAAATTTACTATGTTTGATTGGCTTTCCGCCCTTTGTATTAGACTATGCATACATACATGATGCTGTTTTGTTTATAGTTGTTTAAGCAACTTAATTAATTATGATTGGTTTATAAACATTATTTTAAACATTATGCACTTTTTTCACATATAGTCATGTTGTCTTATGCTTTGAATAAACGTGCATTAGTCATATTTTGCTTGATGCGCCCTCTTGTGGCCTCAGAAGAGAAGCCAAAAGCTTTTCTTCACCCTAACTGAAATTATGCATGTTAAATTAGAATATAATTCAAATTTTGATAATATTTAAGTACAAAATTCGAATTTCGTTTTTCAGCCATTTTGGCAGCACAGAGTAGGCATGCGGTTGCCAGGTTTGGAAGATTGAGTAAACAACTTGGCAGAAAATGTATCAATAAAGCTCTGATTATAGGATTTAAACTCTTGAAATATGGCAACCGCAAAGCTTGTGAAGGCTTGTTACCAATACAAGATAACGCAAATACCAATTAAAAATGAAATGTTTTCAGGATAAATAACCAGCGAGCAAATATCGCAGATGATTATGCTTAAATTGTGAGAAGCAGAAATCGTGAATACAATTAAAATTTGATTCATCATGTAGCCCTAAAG